GGGGGTCCTGGGTGGGGTGATGTTGGGGGGCCCAGAGGAATCACAGACCGGGGGGATAAGGGTGGTGACAGGGCCCGATGGAGGGGTGGTTTGCGGGGGACAGTGGTGAAGTGAAGGCACTCCGGCGGCGTTCCCAGGGGCACAAGGACTGGGCTCTGGGGAGGGGAGAGGGTGGCAGGTCGCTGCAGGTGATGTGCCCTGTGGAACCCTACGGATGGAGAGGTTATTGGGGGGGGTTTCCATGCCTGCACTGCCACTCCCGCATGCACCCAGGGCCTGGAGCGGACAGAGCATGAAGGCTTCGGTGGGGGTAACACAGCCTGGGAGGAGGAGAAGCTGTCCAAGTACCAGCACAGGTACGTGACCCCAGTGAGGGGCTGGGGCAGCCCAGCTGCTGCAGAAGTCGTAACCCACACTGGCTTGTGTCCCTGCAGCGAGACCCGTCTGCTGGAGGTGCTGGAGGGTGTCTGTGCCCCCTCGGACTTCGCCTGTCACCAGCTGCTGGAGCGGAGCGAGGAGCACGTGGAGCAGTGGTGGTTCCATGAGTGAGCCTGGGGACAGGGACAGGGGGATGGCAAGGGGCACAGGTAGATGGCAGGGGGCTGAGTGCTGTATCTTCCCATCCCCAGGCAGCAGCAGCACCCTGACTTTTTCCAGTGGCTGTGTGTGGACAAGCTGATGCTTTGCTGCCCGCCCGGTACCTATGGCCCGGACTGCCGTTGTGAGTAACTGTGGGGTGAGTGGGGTGCTGGTGGGGCAGAGGGGCTCCCCTGGCTGCTGCCCTCTGTGCCAGCTGGTCTCTCCCGTGCAGCCTGTGCGGGCGGGCCCCGGCAGCCCTGCAGCGGCAACGGGCGCTGCGATGGTGACGGCACGCGCCGTGGCACCGGCCTCTGCGTCTGCAGCCCCGGCTACGGCGGCCCCTTCTGCGCCGAGTGCGGGGATGGCTACTATGAGGCCTCACGGAACAAGAGCCACCTCGTGTGTGCTGGTAGGTGGGGGCTCTGCCGGTGCTGAACAGCCTGGGTACAGGCAGCTCCCCCCTGCCCGTGTCCACGTATCTGTCCCTGCCCACAGAGTGCTACCAGGCGTGCGGGCGCTGCACGGGTCCCGAGGACTCCAGCTGCCTTCGCTGCAAGAGGGGCTGGGTGCTGCATGAGCACCGCTGCATCGGTGAGTGAAGGCCAGGGGTGAGCTCAGGGCCGTGGGGGCTGTGTCCCCAGAGCTGAGGCTCAGCAGGGCTATCCCCATCTCTCCTGCAGATATAGATGAGTGTGGCACAGAGATGGCGCACTGCCGAGCCAACCAGTACTGCGTCAACACAGAGGGCTCCTACGAGTGCCGAGGTCAGAGGGAAGGGGGTTTTTGTGCAGGTGTCTCTTCCCTGCTTGGCACCAACCCTGGCTGGGCTGGGAAGGAGCTCTGGCAGCAACCCTGGCTCCATTCTCTGAGGCAGACTGCTCCACGGCTTGCATCGGCTGCATGGGCGCCGGGCCGGCTCGCTGTAAGAAATGCAACAAGGGCTACTGGCGGGACGGAGCCAAGTGTCTGGGTGAGTGCCTCCCATGGACTGGGGGGCCATACTGCCCCCTCTTCACTGCCCAAGCCCTGCCTGACCCCTGGCTCTCCCCCCAGATGTGGATGAGTGTGCCAGTGCCGAGGAGCCAGTGTGCACAGGGGTGCAGGAGGTGTGTGAGAACACAGAGGGCAGCTACCGGTGCGTCTGTGCCCAAGGCCACGTCCGCCGAGACGGGCAGTGCGTGGAGGACAAGCCCCCTGGTATGGCCTAACGCAGTGCAGGGGGACATTGGGCAGGGGGTGTGGGACATGGGGGGGGACTCTTGCTGGTCAGCTGTGCCCTCCCACGAGTGTTGTCCATGCAGATGCCCCAGAGAAGGGCTTCTTTGATGACGTGACTGATGACGAGGTGGTGGTGCTGCAGCAGATGTTCTTTGGTGTGATGATCTGTGCCCTCGCCACGCTGGCTGCCAAGGGTGACATGGTCTTCACCGCCATCTTCATTGGCGCCGTGGCTGCCATGGCTGGCTACTGGCTCTCTGACCGCAGTGACCGTGTCCTCGATGGCTTCATGAAGGGCAGATAGCTCTGGAGCTGCTGGGCACAAGCAGAGGGGCAGACTCAGCTTGGGGTGCAGGGCCTCCCCCAAGCAGGGCTGGCTGCCAAGGCTGCATCCTGTAGATGATGCTGTGCCCTGCATGCGTCCCCCAGCCCCCCCTTAGCATAGGGTCTTGTTTTCCCTGTCCCTGCAGAATGAGCCAGGAGTACCTGATCCTGGGGGCTCCCACACAGCCCCCTCTGGATGGAGGGGTGATGCCAGGCAGTGCAGCATCGTGTGGGGGGCACAGCATGCTGCCCCCAGCTCCTCGTGCTCTGGAGGAGAGGCCGGGCATTGTGACAGGTGAGGGGGTGGAGGGGCAGGTGAGGGAGGGAACCTGCTGTCTGCCCCCAGGCTGGGGCTCCTGGCCCTGTAGGACTCCCCTCCCATGACACTATTCCCTGTGGGAGAGTGGGGGGCTGGGTCCCCCCATGCCCTGAGCTGTGCGGCTGGGAGAGCTGCCCCCCATCCCTGGGCAGAGCCCATCTCCCCTCCCAGGCTGGGGGCCGGGGGCCCCTCGCCGCTGGCAGGGTGCTGTGCTGGTGAGGGGGCCCTGCTGGATGCATGAGTGTGGCCGTTGCATTTGTCCGTGGTTTGTCCGTCGGGGTGTGCCCATCTGTCCGTGTGTCCATATCTCAGGAAATAAAGCTCTGCACACCCAGCTTGGCTCTCAGGCTAGGAATTGGTGGGGATTGGGGGTGCTGCTGCCCACCACCGCTTTCACATGCCAACAGGACCGTCTCCTCCCAGCATAAACTCTTTATTTCTCTCGTTTGGCACAAATGGAACTGCCCCTGCCCGGCCCTACAGGGGCGCAGGATCAGACCCCTGCACCCTCACAGTGTCCTCACTCTCACATCGTCCTTCTGCGCCCTCAGTCTCTGCCTGTCCCGGGCTCAGAGCTCAATGGTGTCGCTGGAGAGGCTGCGGGAGTCCAGCGCCTTGCCGAGGGCTGGGAAGGCGC